CATTTATATCCACACCAGTATTGACAGCAATTCTTGTCATTTTCAAGTGCATGTGATTTGGAGCGACATCCTACGATCAATGCCCACATCCAAGCAATGAAGGTCATTGCAATGACGACTGAGATAATGATGAGCGCGAGTTGAGATGTTCCTACATTGGACGTAGCCCACAAAATCATTACTAGCCCGGTTACAGCTCCCATCGGGATGATCACGCATTGAATAGTACAGCAGTAGTATTTCCTATTGTAAGTGAGGTAATAAGTTAATGGGACAATGGATGAGACAATGGTAAGTAGCCCACCGCACGTGCCGAGTGCGTCAAGTACGTCATTAGCGCTTAAATCTTGATAAACCCATCCAACACACCAAACACTGGAGTCGTTAATGGCAAAATTGGTAACTTGCCCTTCAGAACAATTAAATGGGCCAAGAACAGGTTTCAAATGCATACTAAAACACTCAGCGTCATAGTCAGGACATGCTCTAAACCCCCCCCAAAATAGACGGCCACCCTATATTAGAAGGCCACCTCCTGTATAAGGCCATGTCCGAGCAAAAGTTCAAACGCCCTATTAGAAGGCCACGCACTAATTAATTAATATGTTCCAAAATTATCGAAATTTTCATAAATATTTATTAATAATTAAGGAAATATAACCGATTTTCTAATGTTATTTTGCGAAATCCTTCCTTTCATATCATAAATAGTACAGCTTTTACAAAAAATGGTAATTTTTTCAGCAGAAAACACCTAAAAAACAATAATTAAAGTTATTAATTAATTATTAATTTTTTAAATGATTTTAATTAAGAACTGGCCAAAAATTGACCCCCAATAGAAGGCCACCCAAAAAGTAGCGATGTGCCAGGACCACTGTATAAGGGCATGCCCTTTTATTCTGGGGGGGGTTTATGCTCTTTCGATTGCGACATAAATAAAACTAAAATCAAATTTTCCTCCTGACAGCATGATCAGTGCCGTGGCGGAGTTTCTCTTAAATTTTATAACAAACTATAGATCGAAATGTTAACCTGTATAGACTTAATTCATGCTAGTATACTATTTTGAAATTAAAAAGTGTTCGTGTTTTGTCTGATTCAATTAATGCATATATACAAACTGATGAGTAATTAGACAGATATTTTAATATTTGTACTTGTATTATAATATCATGACATTCCTAACACCCACAGCAAGAAGAAGGACAAATGTAAATAATCACAAATATTTGAAGATCCGGCTAATTACTGATCAGCTAGATATTAATTCTCATTTTAGAAATCATTCTCATCTACAGATACATTCTAGTTAAAACATCATTATCGTGCTTGTTACTATTCATTTCCTTCACGTTTCTGTATGTTTTGAATCGAACAAACAGAGACTGATGCTATTTCAGAGTAACTGAATCGTGGATTTGGCCTTGTTTTCAAGACAGAAATAAAACGTTTTTACATCAATGAGAGAAGTTTAAATAAAGGTTTGTCAAAATAGCAAAACGAATTTTTTCCGATGCTTTCCGTTCCCTTTGCCAATAAAGAGTAACGGAAAACCTTTACGTTCCAGGGTAAAGTAACGGAAACGTGCCACTCCTAATCGTCTGATGAATATAATTTAGTAGCGTAAACATTTCAAAAACATTCTAACATAGATAATAAATGAGCTTATTAACTTTTGAATGTGAAAACAGGTTCGATAACGAAACAAAAACTTTTTTCATCTGTAGATCGCAAGGCAGTGCCAAAATCGTACGAACAACGGAAAATTCGATTTCTCATGAAGGACACAAGACCTCCAGTTTGAAATATTTGCAGTATATGGGCTATAGTTACGATTAGTATTGTAGTGAGTGTCAGCCTTTCATTGAACTGGACTAGTGCGTTACAGAGGAATCACCACAAAATCGAATGTCACGAAATCCATCAGAAGTCCTCTAAAGTACTGAGAATTTGGCTAAGGTTTCCTCACAAAAGATAAAATTCCTACTGTTCTACAATCTGGCCTTGTCTGGAAAGCCACATGCTCTGTTTGTGGCGAATTTTATGTTAGAAAAACATATGGACATTTTTGTACAAGAATGGATGAACATCTGAGTGATCAGCAAAACGTTATGGAAAACTCGGAATCAACGCCAATGTCATCAAGTTGAGCTAGCTCATCCAGTAATTAGACTTACTGCGGAGTTTTGAGAAAGCGGATTGAGCGGTGTAATTACAACGCGTGGCAATTTAACTTCTAGAAATAGTACGCGCGTCTCAATACAGATAGGCTAACGACGCCCAGTTACTCGTTCTCAAACTAATAGCTTACCATTAACTGTGCAAATACTTGATTCAACTGAAGTTGAAAAACATGCAGTACTTTATATAATCTAAAACGAAATTCCGTACATACAGCAAAACCAGCGGAAAGCAAACGTTATTCAACTACAGAAGAAAGTTTTTTAAAAAATCTTAAGTAAAACTTAAGTCAGATTTTCTACTTAAGCTTGTTTCCTAAAAAAACAACAGAAAATTATACAGAAATTTTCCACGTAAGTGAAACTTAAGTTTTTTTGAGAAACAGACCCCAGGTCACGCTATCACAAATAATGACTTTTAAGTAGTACTACGAAAGAAACATCGTCATAAACTATTGGTGAAAGAATCATTGGTAATTAGGACAATCTCTCTGTTTCTTAATGGTACAGATATAAGTAAATATTTATGATTTTACTTGATTTGTCTACAGGGTGTTCGAAAAGTCCCATCGGAAATAAAAAACGAATATTATCGTCATTTGTTAATTAAACTTTCAAGTTTGTTTTTTTGTTGGATAGAGAAATATTCCAAGTTTTATTTGACACGATTGGATCTTTTTATTAATGCTTCAAAACAGTTTTGGGTTTATAGTGTTGAAACTCAGGTTTTGGGGCGATTTGAGTTTTACAAAATGAGACGTACTACAACTCTGGCAAAGATTTCATTGAATTAGGACAAGCTCCACCGTCTTTACTCACGATTATAAATATGTATACAGAGATTATACGTCTCGCGTTTTATTATTTTCCCGGACTGATGCTTTTTTAAACAAAAAATTTCTATATATTATATAAAACTTGGAATATCCCTCTGTCTAACAAAAAAACAAACTTAAAGTTTAGTTAACAATGACAAAGCTATTCGTTGTTTATTTCCGATGAGGCCTTTGAAACACCCTGCATATTGAATTCATATCATTTATATAAAATAAAAGCTCAGGAAACAACTCATGACGTAATGACATAACTTCAATTCCGTATAGCCCTTGCTTGTTCCCTATTGGAACAAAATTTACAGGATAATCTTCCGGGACACATAGTCAAAAGAGGGAGACCGCCAAATGAACCTGCGCCAGCACGGTTAGTTTCACGGCATTTTCCATCTTTGATCCCTCCGACTGAAAAGAAGTAACATCCAACAAAGCGATGTTACGTTTGTAGTCATAGAGAAAATAAGATTAATCGAACAAGACGTGATTCGAGATTCGAATGCACAATTTGTAATGTTGTGCTTTGTGTTGATCTATGTTTTCGTGCGTGCCGTACCTTACTGAATTCCTAAACGAAACTTTGAATTTCGAAAGCACTTTCGTAGAATTAAGTTTTTTGTGCTTTGTTATCGAAAAACGACTTCTGTTTTCTATATAAATAATAGAACATATTTGTCCGCAAAAGCCTTGCATTATTCTTAAATATCTTTGAATTTCTAAAAGTTATTTTGCGAAAAGTTTTACCGTTTAATTTCAAAAAAGTTTATTCAGTCACGCTTCAAAATTCCAGAACATTTTCGATGTGACACCATATCTTACTTCATCTGCAGAAGAAAATTAAAGAGTTCTCCTTGAAGACAATGGCTCTGTCTGACATCAGAGTATTTTTTCTCGTTACCTTGACGTAAGTGAAGAAAGGAAACAACAATTTCTTGTACTTTCGCAATGCGAATGAAAGGACGAAAGGTGTTCGCCACGTCATGTCAATAACATGCTCGATGAGATGTGAGTCATTTCATTGAAAAGGAACGACACAGAAGAACGCAATGGCCACCGACAAACATCGAACAGAGACGAAGACCATTGATACAGTTAACAGCGCTGCGAAAATAAATATACCGCACATCAACGTATAGTCACATCGTTCACGATCATCATCAGTAGCATTTCCCATTAAATATTTCCTTTACAATTATGAGCCGTTGGTGCAACTCAGACAGTGATTGTCTAACAATGACCGATCCTAACGAAGAAGAAGGCATCGAAGAAAATCCAACATATATTTATGAGAATGAAAAATTAGAAATGTTGATTCGGCAGATGCGATTATGTAAAACAGCCACATTCTACGTCGATACATTGTCTAATGACGATATGCGTCTTATCGCGGATGAATTAAGAACGAATCGACGCTGGAATTATCTTCGAGTAATTGGTCACAATAAAATCGATTTAGATGGTGCCAAATATCTATTCGATGCACTGACAGCTAATCCAGCGGTAAACAAACTTCATCTGGGCGGCAATTCTCTTGGAGATTCAGGAGTCGCTTTGATCACACATTTTCTTTCATCAAATTCCACTGTCACTGATCTCGACTTGACAGACAATCAAATAAAGGAAATCGGTGCGAAGTCAATCAGCCAAATGCTTCGAGTCAACTCAACACTAGTTTGTTTGGTCCTACACGGAAATCCGTTGTCTGATGTTGGTGTAGCATCGATTGCTCAATCGCTCGAGCACAATCACACTATAACCGATCTGAAGTTGAGCAGAACCATCATGACAGATGAAGGCGCTGAGCAAATATCTTCGTTGCTTCAGTCAAATGCGACAATCAAAGTCCTTTCTCTTGACAGTAATTCAATTGGTGATGTTGGAATGCAAGCACTCTGTATGGCACTACAACTCAATCACATTTTAAAATGCTTCAATATTCGCCGGAACTGTTTTTCAGATCGAAGCGTTGATGTCATCGTTGCTATGCTCCAGAACAATCGGACATTCGATCGATTAGATCTATCACGCAATCACCTCAGTGAACAGGGCAAAGAAACGATACGACAAGCAAAGACAAACAACACGAATCTTATACTTTGATCGAATGAAGATTTCAACGAAGAACATGACACTCTTTCATTCACTTGACGCTTTTTTTCGTTTTCTTCACAATGAACACTGTTTAAGATTTCTTTCGCGTGTACTTCAAAAGACAAAGCGCGTTAGATATTGCCGCAGCTTCAATAAAAAAAAAATATCTTTTATTCGAAGTTCTACGCATTTAATACGACACGATGTAAGAATATGAACGTTTATGTTTATGATTCATATTGAGTCATATATGCTCACCCCTAGAACAAACGGTTAGAAAACCAAGTTTTTCACATTCGACTCTAAACGTCCAGACTATTAGACGTCTCAAAGGATACAAAAGCGTTTCTTCTGCATGTAGCGGAATTTTCTTTGCTGAGATAACAGTTTTCACACAAATATTCAACAAAGCAGAGGATGTTTGGAGCTGCATACGCATTTGAGAAGTCAATGAGATAAGCAAATACTCGTTATGACAATCGTGTGTTTTCATTCAATGCGAAGCCGAGTACTGACTTTATCTAGCACGAGCTCAATTATATTCGCACGCCATAGTCAGAGTGAGAATAACAGCTCATGCTACTGATCCCAAGCACTTGTGACAGTTCAAGTTACGTTCGAAAAACGTTAGCTGATCAGTTGTTAGACCCGTTTACCGTTAAAAGACAAAAAAGAATAAAAACTAATATAATTCATACTTCTCTTAATTATTGTCTTTTTTTTTATTTTGGTAGATCTGATTTTTTTACTGGTTTCTTCGAAAATATTTTTCACCAATATGGCAAATAACTCATTATCATGCTGATCAATGAAATCAATTGTTGCAGAAAATACACGAAAAGTATAGGTGACTAATAAAACACAAAGAAACGACCATAAAGACCCATGGACCTGTATTACAATTAATGCCAAGCTTCCTCTGTACGATATGTAGTGAACTAGGCTAACTTCCAAAAGTGGTTTGGTATTTGTTAAGCGATAACATGTTTTTTACCGTGGTCGAGTCTTCTTCACATTAAATCCCCGTATCTCGAAAGTGGCTTTCACCTTAATACCATTTCATAACTCCAAGATTTCTCGGTAACGAAACATCGCAGAGAGCTCGGGAAGATCTTAAATTGAATCTGACACATGTGGCTAGAGGCTAATAGAGCCCGATTTTTGATATTCGGTTTATATTGATACTAATCTATATCTACGTTCTACGCGTTCCATTATTTTTAACGGCTTTTCTAATATACTTACTTAATACCTTTGATTCAAAAATAAATAGAATTCATTCAGAATAAAATTCATGCGGTGCTTTTGCTTTCGTTGATATGCTAGTGGTCACATAAGCCTAAACTAAATTTCAAAAAAGAGTATGAAAAGGCTTTTGAACTCGTTATGAAAGACGCATATAATAAATAATGTATCTGTAAGATATAAAATTCTGGCTCAAAGCTTTACAACCTCACTGAAAAAAGTTGGCACAAAGTACCTGCTGTTTTTAATGTATCCCGCGTGATCTGGTGGTTAGGATTTGACGCTCTCACCGTCAAGGCACGGGTTCGAACCCCGGCACGAGAACTCTGTTTTTTTTTTCAGTCTTCTTTATTAAGTTAACCGTTTAAAATATCTTATTTAAGCAGACAACATCAGCCTGTACAGAAACTCTGTCTCAGTTAGCTGAAACTGACTTATGGTCGTACTTTTATGATTCCAATTAAATAAATCCGAATAAAGATAAGGTACACGTAATTCAAATGTTGAGTAGATTTTTATTTTTCGATCATTTATACATTTCCGGATAGAGCTCGACGAGCTGAGTCCGAATATGTGTCTTTTACCTTTACAAACCAAATTCTTCAAGCCGAAATCCGTGAAAAATAGAGAAGTGGTACTATTCGACCAAAACTGACATCTTTCGATAAAATCGATATTGTAACGTTACTTGAAAATCACTTGTCTTCTACTTTTCACCATCGTGATTAGCATGAAAAACTGGTCTAGAAACAGTATTTTAGAGGCTGTTCACATACCACGTGGCTTTGCCAGACCTGTTTTCTTCTGAACAACCAGAAAAGAACCGGCTCCGATTAAAAACCTTTCTAATCTTTTTGCTGAAGAGCTGTCGAGCCGTTCGAGCCGTCTTGGATCGTAGAACAACAGTATGCATCGGTTTATTTTTCTTTGCTTCCTGTCCTGAGAAAATTCATTTCTGCTAAATCAGAGCCGAAAAAGCTGTAATTATGCTCGTAAATCTCGATTACATCAATCAGAACTCAACTTCTATGTAATAAAAATATCATATTCGGAATCAAGATCAAAAAATAAATCTAGTGATGTGTACATCTATCCTATGCAAGTATTTTAATTTTTTTCGAATTTTTGCGTTGAAAAGTCATCAAAATTTTCACTAAAAAATAAAAATGAACTAAAAATTGCGAAATACACAACACTAGATTTGTTTTTTGATCCTGATTCCGAATATGTTATTTTTATTACATAGAAGTTGAGTTCTGATTGATGTAATCGAGATTTACGAGCATCTACCACTTCAAGTACGACTTCTCAGTTTTTCGTGGATTTCGACTTGAAGAAGTTGGTTTGTAAAGGTAAAAGACACATATTCGGACTCAGCTCGTCGAGCTCTATCCGAAAATGTATAAACGATCGAAAAATAAAAATCTGCTCAACATCTGAATTACGTGCACCTTACATCTGTCCTGAATAAAAGATGAGCAAGTTACGCGCTCCAAATTCAAAGGATATGCACTATTTTATTTGTGCATTAAATATACACCATTCACCATTCGACGCAAATTTTGCGCTGATTACGAATATCTTATTTAGAAATTTTCAGTGCACTTGTTCTACGTAAAAATTCAAAAAATTGAAAGCTGTCGTTTTTCCCAAATTCGCTACTTTTCAAAAAACATTCAATATCTCAGCTCCCCGTGGTTCTCGAACCTTCGGAAGATGTTTTTCGTAATCAGTGGATCAAAATACGTATAGAGAAGTGTATTTCGCGGTTCCAGAGCTACAAGAAGTATTCGAATTTTAGTCGAACTTTAGAGGTTTTGACATCCTCCGATTGCAGACTTATCAACGATCTCATATCGAACGGTAGAACCTTCATTTTTACGCCATTCAAACCACCTTGGAACATAGAACAAAGTTATAGATTTAGTTTTTTAATTTCTTTCTCTTTTCTGAAATATTACTAGCAAGATGGCAGTCCGATAGCATTTTTTCAATTTTTTGAGACTTTTAGCATCAGAACATAACTTTGAAACAAAAACAAGGTGATATTCAGAATCAGCCTCGAAAACTGCATCAGACGTTGTGCTTTTGAGAATTTTTAGAAAAATAAAAAATTTTACGCTTTGCATTCCCAAATATCCAACAAACTAAGTACACTCACAGGTTCAAAAAGATTCGAAATGTCTTTCTTTCCTCGTTTCATACTTGAGTGGAATAAGTTAGATAATAATCTGAGATCATGTACAAAAATAAAGAGTTTAAAAGTAAACTAAAACTCAACGGTAAATAATATAAAAATTTTTAGAATCTATGGTGTGAACAGAGAGTATGATCAGATCTATTACCAGTTAAGATGTGTTTTTTCTGACCTGAACTCTCACCGTTTTCGAAAACGATCCTGAGGTTTCGCGGAAATGGAGTCAGTAAAGTATTCCCTAACCTAGTTCCAATGCAAAATCCGACAATTTTGGGAGTCGTGAAACGACCTTATCTTTTAGATAACTGGTTTTCATGTAATTGATATTTGCTAAATTATTGTTTTTTTATTCAATTAGCACACTCGGAATCCCAACTGAAAGTGGATAGATATTTGTCTAAGCAAAATTTTTATTCGTTGCAAAATGTCAAATTGAGACTTTTGTTGACAAGCAAACGTTAACTTATTTTTCATCAATCGCTTGAATCAATCAATTGAATCTGAGGGGATGCATTACATCCACATTTTGGACACCCATTGTCATCGTGAGCAATGCCATAAGCACACTTAATGTATTTTAGACAATCTAATAATGGACATCGATTACATTTACATGTGGTACAACCATTATCATCGATGACCATGCCATAAGCACATTTTATTAGTAAACACCTACTGCCTAGCGGTGGACACTCAGTACCAGTGGCAGCTGATGTTATTTTAATAGCCAGAGCAGTAGCAGCAATCAACAAGAAGAGTGATAAATATTTCATGGTAAAACCTATAAATAAACAAGTGTGCTCAATATGAACTTGAAACCTCAATGTGCTCAAGAAAAACTTACTTACTATATGAATGTACGTATCGTTTTGTATGTAAAGTGTAATGACGTCTAATCTACGCACATTATATATTTAAAAAATATACTTCTAAGGACGAGAAAAAACCTGCATTCGTTCTCGCGTTCGGTTTTTTCTTGATGTTATTTTTTTTGACTCACATCATGTTTAATAGCCATTATGTGTGTTTAAGCATTAAATCAAGAAATCGCAATCTAGATCATGATTATCATTTTCATCGAAAACTACTCTTGTTCTCTGCCTTTTGCCATTTCCCTTTCTTAAGAGTGAATATTTATGATTAAAATCATACATAATCCCTATTAAACATAAGTACAATGATTTGGATCAAAAAACAACATTAAGAAAAACTGAATTTCAGTATCAGATGCCTTCTGTGAAGTAGTGCAGTTGTTTCACATCCTGTTTTGCGTTTCTGAATTGGGAAATTGTAGTGATT